TTGAAAGCTTCGATGAGTTCCTCTTCGGTGTCGGTGTCTTTCATTTTACGCGCCATCAACGACAGAAACTCCGGGAAGTCGATCGTGCCTGTTCATAAGCCTTCCACCGACAACCACCGAGACGCCTACCGTTTCCATCAGCATCGACCTCGTTGATCATATCCTGCAACTCGGCCTCTGTCGGGTTCTGCCCTAGAGATCTGGAAACGAATATATAAAAAGGCGTGGTAAGGCGACCTTACCGCATCACAGTGCCAAGTTCCTTGGTAGTGATAGTTCCATCACCGTCCTTGTCGAACAGCGAGAACGCCTCCTTGAACTCGGCGATTTGCTCTTCAGTGAGTTGATCGGCCATAACGTTGATAAACTCAGTACCAGAACGACTCCGTTTAGCAACTCCAAGGAAGGTATCTTGGAAAACGGCCGGACTCAAGCGCAAGTCCTCAAAGGGCAACCGCGCGCGCCCTAGTGATCGATTTATATTGAATGCGGCCCGATGGAATTAACATGGAGACCGACTTGAATCGAACGAAGAGTGAGTTATTACTGGTGTTGGGATATATGTTCGCTTTTATCAGCTGAGCTCAGGATTCTTCGAACTATTTATAAAAGTTTACATGCAAATTCGGGTAGAAGTGTACAGAAACCAATGAGAATTTCCTCCCAAAATTTCCACAAAAGTTATCAACACATGTGGTTGACCATTTGCATATTTTACCACAACGGGTATTATACTTTTAAATTCGACTTATTCTCTTTTGGTTTTTATATATTAATTTTCGAAGGAGACGTTTTTTTCTGTGGACTCCACTTGAAGGCATTCACTGGACAGTGTGGAAAAATATGCACATGGTCAACCACATATGTTGGTGACAATATTGGAATTCTGAGGAAATTTTGGTTAATTCCTGTACATTTCTACTCTACTTTGTATATAAACTCCTATAATTAGTGAGGAAACTCCTAGGGTCAGCTGAGGAAAGCCAACATATATACAACA